GGTTTCTCGGATCTGGGGCTTCAGGATTTAGGGGTTCAGCCAGGGGCCCGTAGCTTTGAGGGTTTGCAGAGGGTGGGAACCCTAAAACCCTAAACCCGGGTTGAAGCGTTTAGGCTTCGGGGCCTGAGCTCTGCGCTCTAACCCTCGACCCGCAGGCCCTGAGCTAACTCCAAACCCCGAGCCCTTTGCGAGCGGCCAATACTCTTTTGGGGCTTCCTTATTGCAATTATAGTGTAGTTACCCCGAAATCCTGTTCTGATTATTAAGGCCCCTGTGTTATAGAACCCTTATAGTCTCCCTTATCGGCCCCTGGAATACACCCCAAATCCTAAATGTTAGCTCTCGATCTACGACCCCCAAACCGGGCGGAATGGCGGTCTGCACTCGACCAAACAGGCCTGACCGCCCATGACTCCTGGCTGTGCAGGCTTGGGCTACTTGGAGGTTCCATGGGTAGTTATAAGTCGGGGTTATAAGGCCCCCTAATCTGGGTTATAAGTATAGTCACCCTACTTATGACCCCATTTATAACTACCCCTGAACCCCCAAGTATGGGCCTTGAGTTTTCGGGTTCAGGGCTTTGGGTTCAGGCTTTTGGACGTCGGGCTTGGTGTTCAGGAGTGTGGGTTTCCGGATGGTGCCTTCCCGATTTACAGGGGCTCAGGGTTTGAGGATTGCGTGTGGAGCGCAGCCCTAAACCCTAAACCCTTAGGTCTTCGTTCCGGTCGGGGTTTAGGGCTAAAGGTGCTGTTGCAGCTTCGGGGTTGGAGGCCTTGAGGTTTGTAACATAGGGTATGATTAGAAGAGGGTTATTTGGGGCCCATTATACTATTGTTATACTAAGGAACCCCCAAAAGAGCATTGGTAATTGTTTAAGCCCCTAAACCCTAAACCCTCAACCCGAAACCCTAAATTTTAAAACCTAAACACTCAATATTCTAAACTGCCGTAGTATGTTTGGAAGATCTCGTAGGCTTCCGCGAGCCAAAACAGATCCACCTGTTTGTGCCTTCGGGCAAGGGAGGTTCGGATTTTGGTGCTTTAAACCCTAAACCCTAAACCGTCATGGGAGCACGGCACACCCAAGAGCAGAACCAAGCCCGGGGGCTTGTCTACACTGGGCTTTGGAATTTTTGTGGTGGTTTGTGGGAGGGTTTCCCCTTCGGGCGTGGTCCACACTGATAGCATCGTCTTTGACATGAAGGTTGCGTTTGAGCACTTAACATTCCCATACTACAAGATCTAGAAAGTCCGTGAACTCCTGAACTCTCAACCACCTTGTGTAGGTATGTACAGTAGAAGCCCAAACGCTGGAAACCCAATAGCCTCAACCCTTTGGAGTGATGTATAGGGAATCCCAGCACTAACTGTCCTAATCCGGTTTCCAACTTTTTTGGGGGCTTACTTTCACCCTATAAAAACCACTTATGACACCCCACGAGTTTCGGCTTCTGACCCTAAACCCTACACCCTAATAAGGCCTAAACCCTAATAAACCCTAAACCCTAAATGACGAGGCGCCGGTGCAGTTGTCGGAGGAGTCAAAGTCGTAGACGCAAGGGTCGCTCACCTCCGGGAGCACCTCCACAGCGTTAAAAGGGCGGGTTTAGGGTGTAGGGTTTAGGGTTTGGGGTTTAGGGTTCAGGGTTGGCTCGGAAAGTTGGGAGAGCATCGATGGGGTTTTAAGGTTTAGGGCTTAGGATTTTGGGTTTGGGAAACTTGGGAGTGCAGAGATTCAACCCTAAATAAGTAAACCGTAACCCCACAGCGTAAACGCAAACTCTTAACCTCCAAAGCCTTACTCAAACCGGGCTTAGATCATTTGGGTCTGTGACGGTCTGCGAAACGGGAACCCTAAACCCGGAAGCCACTCCACCAACCTGTAATGAAGGCCTGTAGCTGAACCGCCACCTCTTACTTCAAGTCAAGCACGCCCTCCAACACACAGCACCGCATTGATGTCAATTGAACTCCACACCTCTCCCCATAGCAACACGTAAAGTCCCAAATGCACAAAGCTCAAGCACCAGCCACACCTTTGTTCCTGACCTTTCAATAAGTATGACCCAGAACCTGAACCCTGAACCAGAAACCCTCCACATTGACCTCTATCTCAATACATGTGATGATAGTAGGGCCCTCAGCCCCCAGAAGCAACGGAGGACTTAGGCACGAAAAAACGACCAGGGCCAGGCGAAGATAAGCTTGGGGGCTTGTAAACAGACGTGATGGGTTTAGGGTAGTAGACGTCTGATGAAGAATGCCCCGGCTTCCCTCAACAAGGATCAGGGGTCGACCCTGCTTTAAGTTTTTGGCATGCAAAAGATTAAATGTGGGTCTTACCGCATTGATGCTGCTCTAAGAAACCAAGAGCATCAACGGTGAAGCCGCTATACTCTCAAGCCAAAAGGCCGCAGGCTGCCAGGGCCCCGCACGCACGGCACGAGCTCATCACAGCCGGAAAGAGAGGAGGTGACGGTCTGGGAAAAACAGAGTTACAGTGTAGGGCTTGAACCCTAAAAAACCCTAAACCCTAAGCCCTAAACCCCAAACCCCTAAACCCGAAACCCTAAACCTTAAACCCAAAACCCTAAACCCTCAACCCTAAACCGGGCTTAGGGTAACATGCTACCCCGCACACTTTGAGGATCATCCTTGTCGGGTTCGGAATTTGGTTTGTAGGTCTCGTGGCTGCGCGGGACTCCTGGAGTGCTTCTGAGTCTCTTTGCGGTTGGTGTCTATACATACATACATACATCCATCCATCCATCCATCCATCCATCCATCCATCCATGCATGCATGCATGCATATACACATACACATACACATACATTATGTGTGTATATATATATATGTGTGTGTGTATATTTATTCACTTATTTACTTGTTTACTTGTTTATCTATTCATAGTTATATTTATTTGCATACATATATACACATAGAATTATGAGTGTATGTATGTATGTATGTATGTATATATATATATACATATGCATAGATAAGGTGGCCTTTGTGTTTATTCTTTGTATCAGGGGTTTCCCCAGCTTAATCTAAGTCCCCCAGATCAAGGCCCGGGGCCTGGGTCTTTTCCTACTGCGGGAGCATGAGGACAAGTGAACCCTAAACCCTAAACCCTAAACCTAAACCCTAAACCCTAAACCTGGGCTCACGACAGCTTGTCAGAAGATAGTCAGTTGCTCGGCTCAAAGCACGAACGGTTCGAGAGTTTTTGCGGCATCCTGAGCGAAATGCGCGCCCACAGGAATAGCCACCTGTTTGCCCGTCGTTCCGTAGTTGTAAGGCTCTTTCTTCTTCATGGGCCTGGAGTTTGTCGCTGACTACCTGGGCTATGCACAACAACAAACCCCTTCACTGCTCATAGGTACATGTGTATGTATGTATGTATGCATGTATGTAAGTATGTATATATGTACCTATATTATATGTGTGCATGCATGCATGCCCGAATGACCGTATGCAAGCATGTATGCATGCATCTAAGTTTGTATGCATGCAAGTATGCATATACCAGTAAGCCACCCGGCATGATGCATGCCCTCGATTGGCGAGCCTCACTTCCTAAGGGTCCCAGCAAAAAGCCAAGATTAGGCTTGAGTGTATGCGTTCGCGCGTGCGTACATGTGTGTATGAGCCCGCGTGTGCATGGATGGATGGGTGGGTGGGTGGGCGGGTTGTTGTGTGATTGGGCGGGTGTCGGCGTGGGCGTGAGCGGGTGGGTGTGGGTATCTGTATGTATGTATGGATGGACGGGTGGATGGATGGATGGATGGATGGATGGATGGATGGATGGATGGATGGATTGATGAATGGATGGACATATATATATATGTGCATGGATAGATGTTCTTGTACATCCCTGCGTGTATTTGGGAGCATGTTTGACTGGCTCCGCTATCTTCAGGTCTACGAAGTCAGACTGGTTGACGGGCAGCTGGTCTTACGACTCACCCCTGAACCCCAAGCCTCTGCAACTGGGTTCTTGTTAAGGGATTTCATTTAAGTTACCATAATAGGGATCTATAGTACATAGTATGGTTTCCTTATTATGGGTAACTTAAATAGAATCCCTTAACAAGAGCCCAGGCAAGTCCCGCCTCTTAGCAACTCTCGGCCCCTGCACCCTGCAACATCACCCGTACACCAAAGCAAGAGCTACCGGCACCTCCTAGACATAGCGATTCAAGAATTACAATGAGGTGTGTTAGACTAGATCAGAGGGACTGAAAGTAGATAAGGGGAAGGCCTTCGTACTTATTCCGAGCCCCAGATTACTGATAATAAATATTGATGCATGCGTGAACTAAATAAGCTCAAACCGCGAGGCTCTGGGGCGAGGCAATTTCGATAAACATTAGCACTTTTAACAAAGGCAATAGTTTTGCTTTGTTGTTGCTAAGACTACTACAAGCCACCATGAAAGTACTCTCAACAGCACCAAGACGACCAATGATCATACAAATAGACTCCCCAGACCGAACACCCTAAACCCCAAAAAACCGGGACTCTGCACGCTGAGCCTTAAGCCCCACATCCTCAACATGAGCCCCAACATCCTAAAGCCTAAAACCCACCCAAAATTACACCCAAAATGACACCGATTTTTCTTCAATCGACGTGCCCCTACACCTAACCCTTAAACCTTTCCCCCCAAAAGCCAAACGCTGCGAGATCCCTAAACCCCTAAACCCCTAAACCCCTAAACGCCTAACCCCTAAACGCCTAAACCCCTAAACCCCTAAACGCCTAACCCCTAAACCCCTAAACCCCTCAACCCCTAAACGCCTAACCCCTGTTGATGTCAATCGGCATCCAGCTTGAGCAGACCTCTGCATACTGCAGGCACATTTACGGCCTAGAGGTGGAGAAATGCTCAGGCGAGCATAGGGATCGGGCTACCATCATTGGTAGCGGAGCGCGAAGCGCTCCAGGACGGTGCAGACATCCAGGTGGACGTCTGTCGTAGTGTCTTCCTCCAGCCATGGCTGAAGGGGGACACTCCCTTCGCTATTTCAGTGGCGAGGATGCCGACCATCGTGAGTACAAGCGATGGAAGATGTGGGTTCAGAACAAGATGCTGACTAATGAAAAGTTGGCGAAAGAGGCCCGTGGGCCTTTTGTCTGGACGTTGCTGCAGGGCCGTGCTCTGGAAGTGGTGGAGCACTTGTCTCCTTCGGAGTACCAGAAGGATGGGGGAGACAAGGTCCTGTTTGACCTGTTGGATCAGCGATGGCCTCAGAAAGACCGCGTCGACGAGATGGGTGAGCATGTTGCTGAGGTTTTCATGCTGAAATCCAAGGAAGGTGAAAACGTCAGATCATGGTGCGCCAGAGCCCGAGAGGTCTTTGATCGGTGCCACCGGAAGACAGGCATCCAGTTTCCGGATGAAGCCAGAGGCTGGGTGGTGCTGAACTGCAGCGGGATGACCGAAGAGCAACGAGCAGTGGTGCTAGCTCGGGGCAATGGCAGCCTCAAGCTGGACGACATGGCCCAGGCCATGAGATCTTGTTATCCCGAGTTCGTGGTGCCGAAGAGACGGGCGACAGCGGCTCACTATGCTGAGCGCGAGGAAGAATGGTGGCCTGAGCAGTCCGCTCAGGAAGCCGGCGGCTACTACGACGAGGAGGTCGACGATCACGACCTCCATGACGTGGAGGCCTTTCTGGCGGAGCACGGGAACATGGCCGAGGAGGTCCCGGAGGAGATCTATCAGGAGGATGAGGTTGCAGAGGTCCTCGCAGCTTCGTGGAAGGAAAAGCGCCAGGAGCTGAATCGCCTGCAACGCTCCCGTCGCTTTGCTCAGGCACGGGATGTGAAAAGAAGTTTCCGTGTCGAGGTCGAGGAGCTCAAGAAGAGGACTCAGTGTCACCGGTGTGGACGCACCGGTCATTGGGCTAGAGAATGTAAGATGCCGCGCAGCAACCAAGCCGGCTCTGCCTCAGCTGGTGCTGCCTCGACTTCCAGTGCCTCCGGAGCTGGGTTTGTGCAGACCCAAGGCCATGACTTTGTGTGCTACGTCAGCTCAGTGGTGCCGCCGGAGCCAAGGAAGCCTACGATGCTTCAGCTCCTTCGAGAGCGGGTACGGAAGGGGCCAGAGGAGGCCCTACTGGTGTCTTCTCCTGGCTACGCCATCCTGGACTCAGGTTGTGGAAGGAGCATCGTGGGAGAGCAGACCCTTGGGCAGTTCCGTCGATTGTGGACCGAGGCTGGAATTCCCCAGCCCAAGCTCCTCTCCGAGCAAAACACCTTCCGGTTCGGAAACGGGCATCAGGAGGTGTCCAATGTGGTGGTGGAGATGCCCATCATGGTGGCCGGCCGACGTGGAGCCGTCAGGGCGGCCGTGATCAAGGGGCAGGCCCCCCTGCTTCTCTCCAGAGCGGCCTTGAAGCGTCTCAGGGCACAGATGAATTTTGATGCAGATGAACTCATTCTCTTCGAGACCAAGACCCCGATCAAGATGATGACGAACGCCGCCGGGCAGTACATGATTCCGGTAGCGAACTTCGAGGAGGTCACCCCTTCTCCAGCAGTGCCATGCCCTGGCACCGACAGCCAGTGCCTCAGCGCCGAAGCTCTGCCTGGCAATGGGGATCTAGATTATTGGGTTCATCAGGGGGAGCAGTTGGTTCGGATTCACAGATCACAGAGGTGTGAGGTGTTCCGACCTAATCAAGAAGATTGCCCTGTGCCCCTAGAACAACTCGATGAGTGGTGCACCATTGTGAAGCTGGATGAGTTAGGTCAGGAGCAGAGTATTCCCTTTGCATGGAAGGGGAACAAGGTCCTGGAAGGACCTGCTTGGGTAGGGCGTACTGTTTTCCAGGTCCTGCCTCCGCCGAGCCCGAGCGTGCCCGAGAGTGAAGTGGCACTGAGCGAGTGGACTAAGCGCCAGTGGCGACAGGTGAAGTCCCACGTGCGGCAGCTTCCACACGTAGGCGAGCCTGCCCAAGCCTCCCGATCTAACATTGATATTCTAGAGGTCTTTACCCCGCTCCAGTTTGCCAAACTTGCAGCAACCAAAGGCCTGACTTGTGTCTCTGCTGATCTTGTCACGGGCTGGGACTTTCGCCTTCCCGAGCACCGGGAGTCCATGAAAGAACTTGTGCATCAGAATCGTCCGAGCCTGCTGGTTGTTGGTCTGCCGTGTACGTGGAATGGCGGTTGGCATCACCTTAACAAACTGCACATGGAGCCACATGAAATCAATGAGAAGATTCGGCTTGTCAAGCTGTTGGTGAATTTCTCGGCCGATTTGGCACAGATGCAGTTGGACTATGGTGGTCGGGTTGTTCTTGAACACCCGAGCGGCTCGAGTATCTGGACCTTACCTAAGCTTACGGCCCTTCGTCGATCGATGTTTGAAGTTACCACTGACATGTGTTGTTTTGACCTTGTCGCTCCGGGCGGACTGCCTATCCAGAAGCGCACTCGGCTCCTGGTTTCGCACGCCAACATGCGCTCCTTGCAACGTCAGTGTCAGGGTACTCATCAGCATCAAAAGGGCGGTACAGCTAGCCGGTTCGCGGGTCAATGCCCTCCAGCCTTCATTCGAGCAGTGCTTAGGACAGTGCCTGAGTATCGTGATACTGCCGCTTGTCTTGTTCAAGCCGGCACCGATGCCGAGTGTTTGGCTGCAGCGCGCGTGCAGCAGTTGAATGCCGAGAAGCGAGAAGAAATGCTGCAGAGCCTCAAGCGCTTGCATGTTAACTTGGGTCATCCTTCTGCCTCCAATCTGATGAGGGTGTTGAAGCATGGCGGTGCTTCCAAGGAAGCCGTCGAGCTTGCAAAGGAAATCGAGTGCGATGTCTGCAAGGCTCAAGCAGCTCCCAAGTCGCCCCCTCCAGCGCAGACGAACCGTGCAACACAGTTCAACCAACGCATTGGCATTGACGTGAAATACCTGCCGGGCTGGAGGCCCAATCAGCGCATTCCTGCTGTGAACATCGTGGATTTTGCATCTAGCTTTCAGATCGTAGTGCCGCTGCATGGGCGCGAGACCTCCGAGACCATTCGGAAGGCCCTGCTAGAACGTTGGGTGTCATGGGCAGGAACGCCTCAAGAAATAGCTCTCGACCCAGCTCAGACCAATCTGAGCGATGCTCTCACTGTGCCACAGGAACTCGCTGGCAGCAAGATCTGCATCACGGCTGCCGAAGCGCACTGGCAACTAGGCAAGGTCGAGGTGCATGGGGGTTGGTTTAGCCGAATTCTCCAAAAGACTATTGCTGAAACCATGCCGCATGACAGAGAAACCTGGGAGAGTTGCGTATTCGCTGCACACTGTAAGAATGAACTCATTCAGGTGTACGGCATGACCCCAGCCCAGTTCCTCTTCGGTAGGAATCCTCAAGTTCCGACCAATCTCCTAGACGAGCCCCTACAAGTAGTTCCCGCTACAGCCTCCTTGTACGAAGAAAGCCTTCAGAGAAGCATCGCGGTGCGCCAGGCGGCGCGGACGGCTGTGATTGAGCTGCAGGACAGCAAAGCCCTGCGCTTGGCACTAGCGGCCAGGCCCCGGAAGGTGCAAGCCTTCGAACCAGGTGCGTCTGTTGCCTATTGGCGCACGCAGAAGAGCCATGAAGGGGTAATAGAATGGGGTGGTAGGTGGTATGGTCCGGCTGTTGTCTTGGGATACGTTGGGAGAAATTTGGTTGTGGTGCATAAGCGCAACATATTCAGGTGTGCTCCTGAGCAAGTGCGTGCATCCACCAGTGAGGAAGAAAGCCTTGCCTCCACTCCCCACCTTGAGATCTTAGGAATAAAGAACCTCATAGAGTCGGGTGCCCTTCAAAGCCGGCAATATGTCGACCTGGTCCCGCAGGGACCGCCGCCTGCTGCAGAGCCGGCTGCCTCTCCGGATGATGATGCTCAAATGCCCCAGGCCTCTCAGCCGGTGGTTCCCCCAGTAGCTAGTCCTGCACCTGACCCTACACCTGAAGCCTTCCGTGAAGAGCATGCCTCTCAGGCGCCGCTGCCCAGCGCTCCTCCAGCACAGCCTTCTGAACAGGCCGATGGAGCCGGGCCGGGTGATGAAGGGTATGGACCTGTTAGGCATAGGGTTTCGGTTAAGAGTAGTCCTGTGACCCTACATAGGCCCCGTGCTATGCTGCCCGATGACTTCTCCGATATGATGCAAAGCGTAGTGCCCCGCCTAGTAGCCTCTGCCATGAGAGCTAGCTCCTCCAACGAAGCCCCCCAGCCGAGTGACACCACTGATCAGGATGGCCACAGCCGTGGTCACAAGCGTGAGGCTTCTGTGGAGCCCGCCGGTGAGAGTAAGAGGCAGGCTACAGAGGCTGCTTCGTCTCTAGATGGTGCCGCTTCCGGTGTTGAAGGGAGCGAAGAACTGTGTGTGCAAGAGATTTTAGCCATAGAAGCCCAAAATCCCGAAGCCAGTGTAGAGTGTCTTGTTGCTGCTCATATCAACAAGCGTGCTGCTAAGGAAATTCCTGCAGTTGGTAACGACCTGAATGTACAGTCACAAGTCGACGAAGCCAAGCTAGTGGAATGGAATACCATTGCAGGTAGGCACGCAGCTAGGATAGTCCTGGGTGAAGAAGCAGCCGAAGTCCGCCGGAGATGCTCCGACCGGATCATGGGAAGCCGGTTTGTTTGCACGTGGAAGCAGGAAGAGGATGGGCCAAAAAGGGTTAAGGCTAGGTGGTGTCTTCAGGGTCATTTGGATCCCGATCTAGGCACTAAGGCACTAGCAGGCGACTTACAAAGCCCGACTCTTTCCCAGCTTGGGCGAGCCCTAGCTTTCCAGTTGATTGCATCCTTTCGCTGGAAGTTGATGCTGGGTGACATCAAGGGTGCATTCTTGGCATCAGGTGATTTGCCTGCTAAGTATCGGCCGCTGTACGCCAGACTTCCGGCGGGAGGCATCCCCGGGGTGCCGTGCGATGCCCTCATCGAGGTTATCGGACATGTGTATGGGTTGAACGATGCCCCATCGGCCTGGTACAAAACACTTGACCGTGCACTCCTCGAAGTGGGTTTCGAGCGATCCCGCTTGGATCGCTGTCTCTACTTCATGCGTGAAGGCCGTCAGCTTACTGGAATCTTTGGCATACACGTCGACGATTCAGTAACAGGGGGCCAGGGGCAGAAGTATGAACGGGCGTTGTCGTTGTTGAAGGAAAAATTCGAATTCCGTAAGTGGCGGGTTCGAGACGGCGACTTTTGCGGCGCAAGATACACCCAAAGCGAGGCTACGGGAGAGATCGTGATGACACAGGAGTCCTTTGTTCAAAAGGTGCGACCTTTGCATCTGTCCCGGCAGCGTGCTCTGAACAAGGGATCCGAGTTGACAGAAGAAGAAGTCAGATGTCTTAGGGCGATTAATGGTAGCCTGAATTGGTTAGCCACTCAGTCTAGGCCAGACTTGTCAACTCAGGTGTCCTTTTCCCAGCAAGCGTTTCCACGCCCGAGAGTCTCAGATGCCATTGCTGCAAACCAAGCCATCCGTAGAGCCAAGCAACACGCCAACATGCCCATCGTGTACCGCACTATTCCTGTGAGTCAACTCACCATCATGTGCCATTCCGATGCTGCTTATGCAAACGGGCGAGGCGGCGCCACACAGGCGGGCTACGTCGTTAGCTTTGTTGACAGCAAGATTCATGAGGGTGAAACTGTCCGATGGACGCCTGCCTTCTGGAAGAGCTACCGTCTTCCCCGTGTCGTTAATTCGACGCTGAGCGCTGAAGCTCAGGCCATGACCATGGCCACCGGCATGTGTGAGTGGTCTCTTCTGTTGGTCAGTGAAGCAATTGATGGGCCGTCGTTCTTGCAATCAGCTTGGGAGACCGCTCGCCGGAGAACCTGCCTCGTTGCCACCGATTGCAAGTCTTTGTATGATCATGTGCAGTCGCAGTCGGCCCCCACCTTAGATGATCGTAGGACCGCCCTGGATATCATCATTCTTCGAGAATCTTTGGCTAAGACTTCAGGGGTTCTTAGGTGGTTGCCGACAGACCGCATGATAGCTGACGCCCTTACCAAGGAGAGCCCAGAAGCCTTTGATCTTATCAGAGCCTGCATCAAGAACGGTAGATACCAGATATCTCCGGAGAGCACTGTCCTTGAGTGGCGCTCAGCCGAGCGTGAAAGAAGGAAGCTGAAGAACCAAGGACCACCTCCGCCAGTGTGCTAGCAACCACGAAGAGAGCGCGTCTCTTCTTTTTGGGGTTTTCCGTTTCATGTTGTAAGACTTAGTGTGCATTCGTCTATGATGCTTGCAGCCATCATTGTGAATGTCGTTGGTTAAGCCGGTGAACATGTCGACTGGCTGCATCTCTCCACTTCCCATGTTCGTGTGTGAATGCCTGTGCGTATACACGCCGTCAGGCCTGTGACCGTCAAGCAAGCCTGAGTGCAGGTGCCGTGTATCTGTGTTTGCCTTACCTGTGCCATGGCAAACTCCAAGGTGTCCCGAACCAGTCCCACGTCGTCCCCGGCCGAGGACGGAGCTGAGACCTGGGCATGGATTGCTCAAGGACTTCCCCAAGCCGAGCGTCGCCAGACTCAGCATTCGATGGTGCGATCCTTCTTGGCGGGCGAATGAGCTGAGCTATGGCGTGATGCCGTGGCTGAGTTTCGTCAGCTTCGCTCGGATCTGCAAGCTTCCGGAGCGTGGGATCAGGTGAGTCACTACTACTGTGAAAGATGGGGCCTTGCCTCAGATGGAAGCAAGCGCTCCCGAGATGAGGCAGCCTCGTTGGACCGCGACTTCATGGAGAACGCCATGGAGGAGGACTATCTCCTCATCAATGAGAACGGTTCCCCTCGGCGCCTGGGAAGCGCACCGACGCCGATGATGAGTGGCAGCGCTCCTCGCGGACCACCGCCTCCGGTTCCCATCACGGACACCACAGCCAGAACGGGCCATCGCCGCGGAAGTGCTTCCTCGGATATCTTCTCCAGCGGCACCGGCTCGCCACTACCTCCTCATCTACGCTTGAGCAGCAGCGAGAATGAGTCCGAGGCAGCCGCTCGTCGTCCAGCAACCAAGACGAGCCCGCCCCTACCTGAAGGAGTTCATACCATGTCTCAGTGGGGCGATACCTTGGTGGACTTCGGGAAGCTCAAAGGCCAGGGATGGAGCTATGAGGGTGTTGCTTGCAACACCTCCAAGGAGATCCGCGGCTACCGCAAGTGGATCCTCGATCACGTCAACCAGATGACCGGCCCCTGCAAGGACCTCGGCAACTACCTGCTCAGGATGCAAGCGGATGGAAGGCTCCCGGCCACGCCCGACATGATCCCCGGCACCGAATCCGTCCGCAGCTACGTGAGCCGCCCCGGTGCCAATCAGTGAAGACCAACGAGATCGGTCGCTTGGCCTCGAGCTCCGCTACCAGTCGATTGAACGCTCCTGTAGTTCCTCAATGAGTGTGTGTATGATATCTCCCATGTGATTGGAAATCACATGGATCAGTCAATTTCTTTATAAAGGATTTTATAGGAGTGTTGATGTCAATCGGCATCCAGCTTGAGCAGACCTCTGCATACTGCAGGCACATTTACGGCCTAGAGGTGGAGAAATGCTCAGGCGAGCATAGGGATCGGGCTACCATCACCCCTAAACGCCTAAACCCCTAAACCCCTAAACGCCTAACCCCTAAACCCTAAACCCCTAAACCCCTAAACGCCTAACCCCTAACCCCTAACCCCTAAACCCTAAACCCCTAAACCCTAAACCCTAAACCCCTAAACCCTAAACCCCTAAACGCCTAAACCCCTAACCCCTAACCCCTAACCCCTAACCCCTAAACCCCTAAACCCTAAACCCCTAAACCCCTAAACCCCCCTAAGCCCCTGGGCTGCCCGACGCAGTCATCGTGCAGCGTGCATGTCAGCTCCGCGAAGCCCAGCTGGGTTTCGGGACTTTCGGGTGGGGTTCCTTTAAAGGGTACTATAAGGGTTCCTTTAAAGGGATCTATAAAGGTTCCTTTAAAGGGTACCTATAAGGGTTCCTGTAAAGGGATCCATAAGGGTTCCTTTAAAGGGTACTCTAAGGGTTCCTTTAAAGGGTACCTAT